GTCCCACATCGGGCTCCCGGCTCAGCGGGGAGCCTGCTTCTCCCTCTGACCCTCTCCCCTCTCATGCTGTTTCTCTCCTGCTCACTCTCTAATAAATAAATAAATAATCTTTAAAAAAGAAATGGGAGTTATGCTGCTGCTGCAAGCCAAGGAAGGCCAGAGATTGCTGCCAACCACCAGAGGCTAGAAGAGGCAAGGAAGGATTCTTCCCTAGAGCCTTCATAAGGGAGCATGGCCCTGCCACCACCTTGATTTCAGACTTCTGTCCTCCAGAACTGAGAGGATAAATTTCTATTGTTTTAAGCCATCCAGTTTGTGGTAATTTGTTATGGCAACCCTAGGAAAGTAATACACCAGATGATTGTTAACTTCAAGGAAAAGCAAAAAGTTGTGCAAGGAAGAAAAGTAACGGGTGTAATAGAGAAATGAGTTCCAGGTAGCATTTCTATAGACAGAATAATGTAAAAATCAATCAATCAATCACAGTATAACCATATTGGGAAGATAGGGAGAGGGGGCCTGGCAATTACACTTGTTTACTGGCAGCAGGAGAATCAACTTCTTGCCTTCTATCACGTGAACTTTACCTTCTATCATGGGAACTCAATAGATAATGCAAAAATTGAGAAATGAAGTAATATCATTATAAGCTTGGTACATAGAGATATGGACAAGTGGCCAAAGAAACAGCTAAAAGTTGAAAATGGTCATCTCTGGAGAATGAGACATGAGAAATTAGATGCTGGTGTACTAGACTGGACTGTTTTTCATAATAACTCATGTAGCACTATTTGGCCTATTAAATTATGCCTGTATCAACTTTAACGAAAATAAAAACAAAATTAAAAAGGAAAAAAATAAGCAAAAATGAACAGACAGTTCACAAAGGAATAAATTCAAATGAGGATCATATGAACACATGCCTAAACTCAACCACAATCAGTTCAATTCAATTTAAAATAAATTTTAAAAATAAGTCTAATAATATTAAATCAAATATTAAGTCTGCCACCAACCAAGCACAATGGTTGGAAAAAAATTTGGAAATTTGAAAATGTTTTTTAGTAAAATTGAAAATGTGTATACAACATGCTAATCCATTCTGGCTTGAATCCCATGAAACTTTTGTACAGGATCAGAAAAAAACATGTTTGAGAAAGTTAATTACAGTATTGTTTATAATAGTGAAAATCTGGAGAGGACTAAATGTTTACCAATAGATATTTATCCATTCCAGATAGGATAATTTATATTTTCATATAATACTATCTGTCAATGAAAAGGAATAAACTAACTTTATTATATATGAAAACACAGAGTGAAAATTTTCAGTGAAAAAGAAATGGGAAGAACAGTTTGTCCAACCTATTACCACTGAAACAAATTTGAAAACACACTAACCATACACTGCTCATGAATATCTGAATGTAAAAGCATAAAAACATCGATTGGAGGGATACATGCTAAATTCATGACAGAAGTCAGGTTGGAGAGAGGTTTACAAAATGGAACTGAAGGCGAATGCAGAAAGAACATCCACTTCATCTGTAATATGTTAGTTCATATATTTAAAAACTCTTCTAAGGATGGGAAATTGGCTCTGCAGATTTTGGGTTTGTGAGTCTCCATGATCATGTGAGCTAATTCCCTATAATAAATATTATATTATATTTAACATACATTTAAAATAATAATATATAGTATAATATGTATTTTAAAAATAAACTAAGAACTCTTAAGGAAATATGAGAAAGTACTATTAATTGTCAATTCTGGGTGGTAAGTACTCAGGGTTTTAAAAAATGGAATCTGAGTACTTTTCTGTATTTTTATTACTCAAATTTTAAATACTAGATGTAAAAATGTTTCCTTGGGAAATTTCAAAAATTGACTCAAAAAGAATGCAAATGCCTGAATAGTCTAATAACCTATAGAAGATGCCCCCAAACTCAAAGAACCATCCACTAAAAAAAAAGCACTAAATCCATCCAATTTTATGGGTGAGTTCTACCAAATGTTCCAGAAACAATGTCCTAACTCATCCTGTGAGGATAGCATAATCAAACAGAGCTAGATTATTAGCATTCCAAATTCAGCAGGGTATTAAAAGAAAAATCATCTTGCTTGAGTTAAAAAGAGTGCCTTCATGATTTAACATCAGGAAGGTAATTTTTATAATATACTACAGAAAAAAATTAAATGAGAAAAAATCTTAATCTTAAAAGCTCAAAGCTTAAAGTTCAGCTGATGTAAAAAAAAAAAAAATTTAGTAACCGTTATGTATTTTTTTCAATTCTTTGCAAACAAGAAATAGAAGAAAACTTTTAAATGTAGAAAAAAGAAAGAAAAACACTCCCCTTAGTCAAAAACAATCGAGGATGCCCTGCATCAAGTGCTAATCTACAAAATGAAATAAATTTAAATATTCGAAATAAGAAAGCAAATGTCAGCAGTTGCAGATCATATAACTGGTTACTTAGAAATTCCAAGAGCATTTACTGACAAACTGTTGGAAGTAACAAGCCCGGATTCTTCTCTCCGCCTCCGGCGCCCCGCCCCCCACTGCCGGGCCTGCGCACGCGCAATTTTGGCGCATGCGCGTGGGACGGAGAGAAGGAAGATGGCGTCTCCGAGTTTCCCCACGCCGCTGCATGGGCACGTGGGCCGCGGCGCCTTCAGCAATGTGTACGAGCCCGCGGAGGATACGTTCCTGCTGCTGGACGCGCTCGAGGCAGCAGCGGCCGAGCTGAAGGGGTGCGAGGGGGGCGAGGGGGGCGAGGGTCCCCGCGGGAGAGGGCTCGGGCGTCCTGGAGAGGCGGCGTTGAAGGAGAGCCAAGGAAAGGAGGGATGCTGTCTGCCCCGAGGAGGCGGTGTCCGCATACTTGGCGAACACTGACACTAGAACGCAGTTACAGACGATTTTCCTGTAGTTACCTGTAATGAGCGGGCCAGGGAGCTACCTACTTTTGCGAAGGTGCTGTTTTGGTCGCAGGAGCTCCATAGCTCCTTTTCACGCCGGCATATGTACATCTTTTCTTTTCAGCTGTTAGTCTGAAGAACACAAGCCCCCGAGAGCAGCGATATTATAACACGTTCAAAAACCAAATATTCCGAAAATATTGCTTATTAATACTAATTTTTTTAGTAAATATTAAAAGCTGCGTCGTATTTAATTTACTCAGTACACAAAAGCACCCTGTAGCAACGGAAGGGCACAAAAATGAAATGAGGTTGTGAGATCCAGGCGTGGAGAAGCATTTTTAAACCCACTGAACAGCGTTCTGTGCCCTGTACCGATAGCCAGTTAGCCGTGTGTGGCTACCGAACCCTTGAAATGTGGCTGGTGCGACGCAGAACGTAGTTTTTCATTTAACTTAAAAATTTAAATAGCTACATAGTTAGCAGCCTATGGAATTTTCCCGAGCACTTTATAAATAATAAAATTGACTTGTTCAAGTGCCCCCATAAATTTAAATGACATTAAAAGAATGAATACCTACATTGTAATTTTTTTAATGAAAGGAATTTGAGTAATTAGATTTATTTAAAGATCAGGACTTGAAATTGGTTTTCTCAAGATGCAACAGCTGTCAGGCTTCATAGATCTATATTTCTATATTTTATTTATCTCTCTTAAACCTGGTCAGATTTTTCCATATATAAAATGCCCCAACTCTTATTAAACTAGCTTTCCATTGTAAACGATGGAACTTTGGGATTTACTGGAATATAGAATGGTACAGTACTGATTTTTATAATTTGTCTTTTAGTCTCAAGATACCCCGAAAGATTTACAAACACAAATTGCATTGCAATTGCTGTGAAAGGAGCTGATTAAGTTGTGAAGTCAGATTATTTCTGGTCTTGGAATTCTGTTTATGAAAGCATGATAGTTATTTTCAAATAAAAGCCGCCTGGTAATATTCAACAGACCTTCCCACAGAATAATAAAGTTTTGTCAGATAATGTGGACTGGTTCCAGAAGTTAGAAGCTGCTGGAGTTTGTAGTTGGATAGTTGTTTGAGGAGTTAGTTGCTGGAGAGACCTCCTAAATCCCATCAAACCCATTTCTGTGATAGAAATAATTGGTGCTTTTGGTGCATATGTAGATTATAGGCAGGGAAATAAATTTAATTGAAGGATAAAATACAGTATAATGAAGAATTTATTCAAAAGCATGTAAAGTTACTACTAATATTCTAAGATCAGATACTCTCATATTTTCCCAGTTCAGTGTACAGCTGTACAAATAAAGAATTTCTTTGCTGCTCTAAATCTATTAAGAGAAAGGAATTTTTTTTCCCTAGGATATGCTAATGCATTTGTGAATGTTCTGTACTTTTAAATGATAGAGAAAACATCTTTCATAAATAAATAATGTAATACTACTAACCCTATCATTTTGGGAAAATACAGACTAGGAGCTCCTTGTGAGAAGGGTTGATGTTTTTCATATTAATATTTTCAACCCTCAACCTTATTCCATAATTTTTATGTGATGTTTTGTAGAAATTAATTGAAAGCCATCTATTTTATGGACTTAAATTACAAACTCCAAACAATTTTGAGTTAAACAATTAAGTGAGCACGAAGTGGTTGTCAGAAATTAGTGTGTTTATAAATTTCTTTTGTATTTCCATATATTTGTGGACAAGGGATGCTGGAGAAATACATATTAAAAGTAGATTGAGAGTCATTTTCTGGGATGTATATTTTTATCCTACTATACTCATATTTATTTTATTTTGCTTTTTTTAGAGTGGAAATATGCCTTGAAGTAGGTTCAGGGTCTGGAGTGGTATCTGCATTCCTAGCCTCTATGATAGGTCCTCAAGCTTTGTACATGTAAGTGTAAGTGTATCAAATTCATCTGTATCTCCCACTAAGAAATTCACTAGGGGTATAACCGCTCGAATGAAATCATTTTTGTAAATAAATAATATATCTGAAAGGGTCTACTTAAGTGTAGTAAGGACTCACTGTAAATTATTCTTCCCTAAAAATTATAACTGCATGTCCAAAACTGTTCCATCATACTGCATAATTATAGAAGCAACAAAATAATTTTAGGGTATTTCTAAATTTGAAATTTTTTAGGTAAATAGTCTGATTACCAGAAAAAATTGGAAGTTACTTAAATTTTTTAAGAAAATTTGAGAATATGGAAAGTTTAAAGAAGAAAATAAAAGTCACTTCCAATTCTACCACACGTGGTCCAAGTATGTTTCTTTTTTTCCCCCATTTCCTGTGTTTTTCATTTAATATTGTATCATGACTATTTTTCAAAAATTCCTTTTAAATTTCATTTTTGTGATAGCATAGTATTCATTGGATTCATAATTTAGTAAATGCCTTCAGATGTGTATGCATGTATGTATATTTTCTACTCTTGCACATTTTATCAATATAACATTCTTTTTCATTAATATAACACATCTTTGTTTTTTTCCTTCACCATTATTAAAGCATTTTAATTTTTTTCTAAATCTGCTGTGTGTAAAAGCAGTGGAGCGTTTTTTAATTTTTCAGTAATAGGCTTGCCTCATGATCGTAAGATACAGTGTTCTTTCTTTTCTGTGTCTAGGTGCACTGACATCCACCCTGAGGCAGCAGCTTGCACTCTGGAGACGGCACACTGTAACAAAGTCCACATTCAGCCAGTAATTACAGACTTGGTGAGCTGTTCGTCCTTGTCCAATGATAGTTAATTTCCTTTTCAAATACGTTAAGGTTAAGATGGTTAGGTCAAAGAAGCTTGGGTGATTAATTAATTTTTTTTTTTAAAGATTTTATTTATTTATTTGAGAGAGAGAGAATGAGAGACAGCACGAGAGGGAAGAGGGTCAGAGGGAGAAGCAGACCCCCAGCTGAGCAGGGAGCCCGATGTGGGACTCGATGTGGGACTCGATCCCGGGACTCCAGGATCATGACCCGAGCTGAAGGCAGTCGCTTAACCAACTGAGCCACCCAGGCGCCCTAATTAACTTTTAATCCACTAAATAGTATACCCCATAATTTACAGAGTAAATTCTTGACTGTTGTAATTCATCTTGTCCAGAATTCAAAGGGAATTTCTACTGTTTTGGAAGGATCAGTCATCTTTTGGTCAGAAGTGACAGAGAATCCAGTTCACACTGGCTTAAGTAAAGAGAGAGTGTGGCTTCAGGCACAGCTGGCTCCAGGAACTCAAATGATATGATAGGCATCTTTTTCTTAGCTCTGAACTTCTCTATTGGCTCTATTTCTAGGTAGTCTTTCCCTTCATGGTAAGAAGATACTTGCATGTCTGTATCTTATTTCTCAGCAAACACCTCCCTCACCCCTCCGTGGAAAGAAACTCTTTCTATTCAGTTAGTCTAACAAGCCCCAGAATGAGTATTGCTTCGATCATCTTAGATCATATACCATCTCTCAATCTCTCACTATGGCCAAAGGGGATCGAAATACGGAGATGACTGGTTTAGGCCTGAGTCATAGTCCCACCCCGGCAGCTGCATTGGCATAAACCCTACCCAAGCCACATGGATTGAGAATGAGAGGAGATAGAGCTTACCCAATAGAGATCAAGGAGATAAAATCAGAAGAAAGCGGGGAATGAGGCCTGGGCAGGTAAAAACAACACATCACAATTACAGAACCATCATTTTATTTTAAGTTACACATATATTTTCCAGTTGCAGTTTTCCTTTAATATTTTAATTAGTAAGACTTGGATAATTTTGGACTTTTGTTGTTGTTATAAGTGCTTTTTTGTAAGCAAAAAATCATAACAGCATGTACCAGGTAGGGATAAGAAAAATGCTTTCTGTGCTTCTTGACCTGTATTATTCTTACAGTGGTAAGAGTATTTAGCTTTTCTGCTTTTTTTTTTTTTTTAATTTTATTTATTTGACAGAGAGAGACACAGCGAGAGAGGGAACACAAGCAGGGGGCGTGGGAGAGGGAGAAGCAGGCTTCCCGCCGAGCAGGGAGCCCGATGCGGGGCTCGATCCCAGGACTCTGGGATCATGACCTGAGCCAAAGGCAGACGCTTAACGACTGAGCCACCCAGGCACCCCGCTTTTCTGCTTTTTTAAACTCACAAATGACTTTTCCGCTTGGAAGGAATTAAGCCAAACATGTAAGAAATTCTTACCTATTAGAACTCGTTACTGCTATTAAAAACTAGATTATCAAGAAAGGTACTCAGGTGATTTACTGTGGTGGTTTTGCCCTTTACAGTTTTAACTTGTTTCTTTAATGTGTCCATGATCAGTGTTAAATATATGTTTTTGATATAATGATAAAACTTTAGAGATATAAGAAATTCAGAATATCTTTTTTTTTTAACAGAGGTAGAAACTGAGGTGAGGTTCATTTTTTTTTAAAGTCACATGACTAATAAAGTGATAAATACAGAATTTAAGCCCAGACCGTGCTAATCTAAATCTCAGGGTCTCACAGCTGTTTCAGGACATGGCTTGTGGTAGTCCATGCCAGAGTCAGCTCTTTCAGTGGTTCAAGGTGATGGTGACACTGAGTACCGACAAAGAAAGAAGGAAGTAGGCATTAGCATAGGTATTATGATCCACTTACAAAACTCTACATTTGTTTATATTCAGAACACTGAGCATAGATTATCACAGCCATGATACAAAGTCATTGTTTTGGATAACTAAGCTTACGTGTTTACAAAGTAGTACTTTCATTTTGCTTCTTTTTTAGTTTTAGAAAAAAGACTTTTTTCAGACATGTCATATGCCTTTCCTTATATTCCTAAAACAAACTAAACATAACTTTACCTTTGATTGATTCAGGGTCATTAATATGAACCTTAGTTACTATTCCATGCTAGCTGTGATAATGGGGCTTATTCAGGGCTTTCTGTCTTTACACTGAGTAGCTAGAGCCTGCAGTGATTTTGAGTTTTTATTTCCTCTCCTCTTTGTCTCTCTCTTCACTTGCTTTATGTTGTCTTGTTTTACTATTACTTGTTGGTGGCATTTTCGCTCTCTCTTTCCATGTGCTCTGTGCTAGAATACCGAACAAGTGATTTAGTTAAACTTGTATTTAAACTAAGAGTTCGGGGCGACTGGGTGGCTCAGTCGTTAAGCGTCTGCCTTCGGCTCAGGTCATGATCCCAGGGTCCTGGGATCGAGCCCCACAT